TGAAGAAATTGATCTTAGGTGCCCGGGGTGGAGTGTATCCGCCCGCTCGGCTCATACAGACGACTGTCTGTTCTCCGTCTCCCCCCAGCTCATCCCTCCCCCCTTCCACCAGCGCGGAGGCCCCTTCCAATGTGCCCGGGTGTTGGGTTACATACCTAATGTTGCCGTCTACACGGTAGCAACAATCCCCACAACAGCCCTTTGATGTAGGTGCACTTAACACCATCCCATTTTCCAGAGGAGGAAACTGAGGCACAGAGCGGGGACGTGACTTGTTCAAGGAGACGCAGCCGGTAAGTGGCAGCGCTGATACCAAACTCCATGGAGTCTGGCTTCAGCATCTCTTTTTCTTTTTCATTTTTAAAATATTTTTATTGATGTCAGAGAGGAAGAGCAAGGAGAGAGAGAGAGAGAGAAACATCAATGATGAGAGAGAATCATGGATCGGGTGCCTCCTGCACACCCCACACCGGGGATCAAACCCACAACCCGGGGCCTGTGCCCGGACTGGGAATCGCACCATGGTTCATAGGTCCACGCTCAGCCACTTAGCTATGCCGGCCGGGCTCAGAGCCTCTTCCTTACTCCTTGTCTAACTGTCTGCTCGCCCAGTCCTGGGCTCCCACCTCTGGGCCACCACTTCGCCTCCCCTGGGCCCCCCAGGAAGCCACGCCCTCATGGGCCTCTCAGGCCACTGCCCTCTGTGTGTCATGGTCCCCTGGCCCCTGGTGCAGGTCTGGGCCACACTCCTGGCCTCCCTTGGGTGGGGCTGCCCCCATCCCCCACAGGAAGTGGGTGTGTGAATGTGTGTATATGTGTGTGTGTGTGAGAGAGAGAGAAAGAGAGGGAATTCCTCCTTTGTAGAGCTTGGCACCTGCCAAACCCCCTTAGCTGGAAAGTGACCTGAAGATGCGCGGCCCTGGGTCCATAAATTAACTGGCACAAATAGGAGGGCCCGGAAGCTGCTGCAGGACCTGCCCTCCCCTCCGCCAGGTCCTCTTAGTAAGTTCACTCCGTGTGTGATTTTTTATTTTTTTAATCCTCACCTGAGGCTATTTTTCCATTGATGTTTAGAGAGAATGGGAGGGGAGACACACAGAGAGAAACATCGACATGAGAGAGACACACGCAACGACTGGTTGCCTCCCATTCTCGCCCAGACTGGGGAGGAGCCTGCAACCGAGGTCCGTGCCCTTGACCGGAATCGAACCTGGGACCCTTCAGTCCGCAGGCCGGCGCTCTATCCACTGAGCCAGACCAGCCAGAGCCAGTTATTTTTCTCATGATAGTGACTTCGCTGCCTGAAACAGAGACTGGCCACATGACGAAGGGTTCGGCACTCTCCTGACCACAATTTGTCCAACTGAAGTCACGGCCCCGTCCCACGGAGGATCACCCACGGGGGGACCATGGCCACGCCCTGACGCCTGAGACGCCGGCTCCAGAAATGATTTGGGTAACGACGTCTCACCTCTTTCATTTCACACTCCGATCTTAAGATAACATATAAAATCTCAACGTGGTTTTCAGGAATAGTCAGTAAAAGAAATCGTGCGTGACCCTGCCACTCTTGGAAGTGCTGTTTTTCTTTATGAAAACGACTTACATCCAAAGTCAGTATGCAGTAGCAGCGTGAGAGGCGTCGCTGAAGATAGAACGCAAGCAGTGCTGGCTGGAAGGGCATTGAGAGTTTGAAATGCAGAACTGGATTGCCGACAGGAGTCCTTGAAGTACGTTTTAGAACGTTGTAAAAAAAAAAATATCCCCACTGGGTGCATCCAGAGTTAGCGATGAAAATGTTCATTTGGACTAAATTCGTTTGGGGCATTTCACTTAGCATCAGAGACAAATTTAAAAATTTATGGCAGCATGGTAAAGTCATTGGGCAGCCAAAATGGCCGGGAAATGATCTGAAATGTAAAAAGTAAGACAAGCTTGGCCAGTGTGGCTCAGCGGTTGAGCATCGACTGGTGAACCAGGAGGTCAGGGTTCAATTCCTGGTCAGGGCACAGGCCTGGGTTTCGGGCTGGATCCCCAGTGTGGGGCGTGCAGGAGGCAGCGATTGATGATTTTCTCTCCTCATTGATGTTTCTATCTCTCTCTCCTCCCTTCCTCTCTGAAATCAATAAAAATATTTTTAAAAATAGACCAAAAAGTAAGACAAGATCGAGGGGATTGCTCTCTGCAAAAAGGGAGACAGGGAGCAGAACAGCCAAATGCAGATGTGGTCTGTTACTGGGCCCTGGTTTAAGCAACTTTGAAAGAGATTTTAACCCTGACCGGTTGGCCCCGTGGGTTGGGCGTCATCCTGTGCACCGAGCGGTCTCTGGTTTGATTCTGGGTTGGGGCACACGCCGGGGTTGCGGGCTTGATCCCTGGTAGGGAGCGAGCAGGAGGCAGCCAGTGGATGTTTCTCTCTCCCTCTCCCTCTCCCTTCCTCTCTCTTTAAAAATTAATTAAAAGAAAAGATTTTTAGAACATTTTCAGAGGATTTAAATGCGAACTAATTATTCGATGCTATTGGGAGGTGAGTGTTGATTTTGTTAGAGAAGATAGTGGTGTTATGGAAAAATACCCATGCTAGTTTTTGACAAATGCATTACTGTCCTGAGGTTCACTTACAAAATGGTTTAGCAAAAGTTAAAAAAATAAAATGCATGTATCCTATATAATAAAAGAGAAAGGTGGTAATTGGCGTACGACCGCTACCCTTTTCATTGGCTAATCAGTGAGATATGCAAATTAGTCGACAGCCAAGATGGCGGCTAATTTGCATATGCCAGCCCCAAGCCTCAGACTGAAGCTTTAGGCTTGGGCCGGTCCAGCCAGCCAGGGATCCTTGATGGCAGTTGCAGCGGGAAACCAGGGCAGAGCCAGCCAGCAATTGGTGGTGGGGAGCTGGGGGTGCCCCCGCCCAGGCCTAAACCCTCAGCCTGAGGCGTTAGGCCTGGGTCAGGGAGGAGCCAGCCAGCGATCATTGATGGTGGCAGCGGTGGCGAGCTGGGGGTGACCCGGCCCAGGGCTAATAACTCACCAGAGGCTTTAGTCCTCAAAGGGAGGCCAGACTGTGGCTTAGGCCCACTCCCCAAGGGGAGCAGGGAGCAGGTAGTAGGACATCCCCTAGGGCTCCCAGTATGTGATGGGGGCAAGCTGGGCTGAGGGACCCCCCCCCCGCCAGGGCACAAATTTTTGTGCACCGGGCCTCTAGTAGATGAAATAAAGGTCAAATCTCGATTTTCATTTTTCTCGCCTATTTCTTAGTATATGTCAACTATGTCTTTAAAAAACTTAAAGCTATTCCAGTGCCTGGGAAAACCTCTCAATCTCTTCAGGATCTGGTCACACACGGCAAAAATAGAGGGGCGGTGACTGAGGTAGAAAAAGCAGTGGGACTGCTATAAACTGCTGCCTTTACGGTCCCCGCGCTACAATAACTGCGGGAGCAGTGGGTGGTGGGGTCTGGGTGTGGCCGGTGGTGACTTTACCACAGCGTGTGAGACCCCCGTGCTGGTGGCCGCCAGCTCCCATGGGGGCCATTGCTGGGTTTATGGTCGGGCTTACGGAATCCATTCAGGCCTTTGGCACCTGCACAAGAAGTACATGCATGCCCTCAAAAGGTGAGCATGCCCTCGGAAAAAAAACCACAATTTTTTTTAAACCAAACAACCTACCAGGCCTCTAAATTCCATGTGGAATCTACAATTTCGTGTCTCACCTCTCCCCCATCCTCCTGATCTGCTGTCACCTCCCTGAGGCTGAGGTGATCGAAGCTTTCCCTTCGATTCCGGAGCTGGGACGCGTGACCTTGGCTGCTAAGAAAGCCCTGGGTGACCTTGAACAAGTTTCAGTTTCTCATCAGTAAATAGAGAATGATAACATCTGTTTCTCTGGTGTGTGTGTGTGTGTGTAAGTAATACACAAAACAAACTAACCATTTCAAAGGATGTATTTATTTTTTAATATACATACAGCAGTATGTATTTTTTAAAAAAATATTTTTATTGATTTCAGAGAGGAAGGGATCCCTTGACTGGAATCGAGCCTGGTACCCTTCAGTCTGCAGGCCAACGCTCTAGCCACTGAGCCAAACTGCCTAGGGCTCAGCAGTATTTAGAACATTCACAGTGTTATACTGCAGAGCTTTCTCATCTTTCTGAGTGGAAATTCCATATTCCTTACTTAAAATCTCGCCATTCCCCCACTCCCCAGTCCCTGGAAACCACCCATCACTTCTTTGTCTCTATGAATGTACCTACTGGGGATATTTCAAATCAACGGAATGATTCAATATGTGACCTTTATGTCTGGCTTCTGTTACTTTAACATCATGTTGTCAAGGTTCGCCCACGTTGTGGCCCGTGTCATTCCTTTTCGTGGCGAATTCGTGGCTGAGGACTGTTGTATGGATGCACCAGGGTTTGCTTATCCATTCATCCGTCCGCAGACATTTGGTGGTTTGCGCCCTTCGGCTGTTGTGAATGACGTTGCGATGGTCACG